CTCCTAGCCTTTACAAGTCACTTTCCTAGATTCCAAACCTACAAAAAAAGGGATTGATACTCAGCACTTGATGCACATTACTCAATAACCTGCAAGACTGAGTCTTGCCACTTCACTGAAAAACAAAACAAAGAGAATACAAGCCCTATTAAGGGCAGCACTTACATACATGCTTAAAGATAAAGTTAAGCATGTGTGTAGGTGTTGCTCAGAAGAGGGATGAAACTAATAATTTCTAAACTAAAAACTTCACGTATAGGGTACTAGTGGATTCCCTTTCATCCCTTCATTTTGTAATTTTTTTTTTTTTTTTTAAATCAATCTAGTTTGCTTGGAAGTTTTATTCTTTACATGGGCGACTGGTGTCACCTGAGTTTGGGGGTGCACAATATGTGGGCAGGCCCAGGGGTGAGCCAAAAGCCCCATATCCACTCCCGCGTGGGGGAGGAAGGCAGGGCAGTGCTCTGGTTGGCTGGAGTGCTCTCTGACGTTCCAGGCTCCAGAGCGCTGGCAGGGAGGGCAGGGCTGGGTAGGGAAGCAGAGCGCAGTCCCTGGCCATACAATCGGGTCAGCGGGGACCTGCTCTGGACCTGGCCCAGTCTTAAGCAGTGCTGAGCTGGGATGCATCAACAGCCCCCCCCCCCCAGCACTTTTGGGGGCCAATCCCGGGCCAGGCTCGGGGGGGGGGGCACATGCCCCCACGTACCCCCCCCTACCAGTCACCTGTGATTCTTTATAAGCCCATGCTGCTTATAGCTCATAGTTGGCTACCTTTGAACAATACTGTATTTATTCGTGTATCACATACCCTCAAATAAGACATGGACCTTGTTTCTGATTGAAGGGAAAAAAAAGATTTTCCCTTTTAACCAAACCATTCAGAATCAGTCTCTTTATTTAAGATATGCGCACAAAATTTCAATTGCTAATTTTCGGGAAGAAAATGAGTGTGGTATGTGAATTAATAAGGTATTTATTTCACTGCTGAACACTACTTAGTCTTGTGATGT